ACCCCACCTGTTGTGGGCAGGAATGCCTTCCACTAGACCAGGTTGCATCAAGCCCCATCCAACCTGGCCTTTAACACTTCTAGGGATGGGGCATCCAAAATTGCCAATCAATTGGCAATGAAATAAATAGTTTTATGATAAAAGGCTGTTTCTCTCAGTTCCTTTGCAAGAGCAGTATGAGATTATAAGGAATTAATCCAATTTGCTACGTTTTGATTATTCTTGATGCCAAGGACATGAATGATGGACTTTATGGCAAAAAGGCTATTTTTAACCTGTTCCTCAGTTTCCCCCTTGGCAAAATAAAGTCTTTTTAAGATTCTGTACCTCTCAAGAATTCACTTTTGCAAAGTTAAATTGCCTAACAACTGCAAAATATGCTGAGATGCTGCTGCAGAAGATGCCATGCCATGGACACTGCAAAGTGGTGTTACAATGCTTGCAACTGCAAGGGAAGATGAATGGGAACAGGAGAGTTTGGGTGACAGGTTATCTGGAAATGGAATGTGAAGGAGAAGGACATCTTCAGAGAGTAATTTAATTCTCTTTCTGAAGATTCATACCTGCTGGGGCTGCCAGCTGAATGTTTGTTCCACCCAACAACATGAGTTGTTCAACTTGAAGGTCTGTATGATGATTTTTAAAATCTTTTTCACATCATTATTTCAGATAGAGATAGGATCTCATTAATGCTGTAGCAGGATGGGAATAAGCATTTGGAATATGCCAGTGTAGGATAATTCTGCCGTTTTTGTGACTAGCATATTACTGCGGTATCATTAATAATGTTTGTCACAATGACTTGATTTATTTATGTGTATTTATTTAGTATCTGAGAGCATCTGTTGTGTGCCAGAGCAGCTACAGAAGACAACAACCCCAGCCAGAAAATGTCCTGACAACGCTGCTCCTTGGGGATTAATGTGTTTGAGAAGGGCTACATTCTTACATTTACTGTCAGATTTTCACCATCATTCCAATGGTTCTGAAGTCATTTTCCAAATTGTCATAATGGTCTGATGACAATGTATTTGAAATGGATTTTTTTGTCCTGCTATGACACATTTTTCTCCAGCTGTTGGTAACAATTTAAGGTTGTTAATTTAAGGTTGAAGACACAAACTTGGTGTGTCTTTCATGAAACACATTTCAGAGTTTAACACGGCATGAAATGCTCTCTGGTGGAATCAGGTGCAGAAGATGTTTCTTCTTATTTATATGAACCTCACTAAAAATGTCTGTCTCATTCTTCCAGAGCTTAGTTTTCTTTGGAACATCCTGACTTTCTCATAGCAGAAATTTGTGGAATTTTGTGACAGGAGGATCAGAAAATTTCTTCAGAGTTCGGCCCATTCTCTCCCATTCTCTACACCACTCAGGATTTCCCACACCTGAGTCTACTTCTGGGGCAGGGGTCTCATTGGCTCCTCTGGATATCTCAGCCCTCACTCTAGAGAAGTTGCAGACCATATAGAGGAAGCTTAACAGCTGAACTAACAGGAAAGTGACGAGGAATGTGGTATCCTTAACACTCGGGAAACTGGATATTCTCAAAGAGGGACATAACAGATTCAAAGAAGAAGGTAAGAAAAGGCTGAAAAGCCTCATCCCCTGCTCCTCCTCTAACAAACTGGGTGCAATTACCAATAAACTCCCAAAATGCGCTACTGGGACTGGGAGGCAGGGTCGGGCGAATAAACCATAAGCCAAACATACCTGACAGAAACTTCATTAGTTTTATGAACTTCCTATAAATCAGTATCACTGAGCCCAGCACAATAACCATTCTAATCCGTGCCCCTCTACTGTGAAAGAGGGCAAAGACAGGTATTAAAACCTCAAAAAATTCTAGGGACCAGATCCACATGAAGGCCTCCACCCCGAGAGACATTATGTATCCAAACAACATGGCTACTGACTGCTTTATCCCAATACAGAAAAAATACAACCAAACATACAACTAACTATCAGTACAGGTTTTTCCACTTTCTCTTGCCCCACATTCAGGTGCCAAAAACTGTATTTGTCCTAGTTTAGGACAAATTAGAAAAGAAAACTCCAAATGGGGATTTCTCCAGGGAAATGCCCCCTCCCCACCAACTAGTCCAGAAAAGAAAAAAAAAAAAAAATTCTTGGAGAGAAGTGGAAAAAGCTGTTTATTTAACAGAAATTGAGTAATATTAAATAATAAAACCTCTCGCTGTTCAATGGGATGGCAAGTCTAGGAAGAAAAGTCCTTTTCATGTGGTGTAGCTCGGCTCACTCAGGTTCTTATCAGTCCCTCCGGCGCTGGAAAGTGCCGAGGCCCAGGCCCCGGTGGGCCACAGGCGTGAGCTCCCGGGGTTTGGCTGGGTGTTCAGTCCAGAGCAGGCTTGCACAGATCCAAGAGTTAAAAAGAAGAGAAAAAAAAAAAAAAACAAAGGTCCAGGGAACTCCTCTGCCTCAGCTAGCTAAAACTAACTAAAAGCCAGAGAGAAGCTCTGTCCCGCTGTCTGTCCGTGCTGCAGACACCACAGTCCAGGAGCGGGATGTGTGGGAGTGATGTTTTTCCTTAACACAAACTGCGCGCTTCTTCTTCCCCCTCTCTTGCTCTCAGAGCCAGTCTGAAAGGTGCAGAACTTAATATATAACATAAACCAGACGATTGGGGATACCAGTATCATAAAGTCACCCCAGGACATGAACTTATCAGACATGGATCGCTGTGGTGATAATCTCAGGAGAGAGATAGATACCACTCCCAAATACAAATATTGAATGACAATCTCCAGAAAGAACATTTAGAATATTACATACACGTGAAAGACATAGTTCTGACTTCATTGATTGAAATATCCTTTATTACATCATATTCAGGACAGATTTCATATTACTAGGTATTTTTTCAATATTTCATTTGTACAGATATTTTAAATCCCCCTCAAATTCTAAAAAAATTATAAATTAACACCAGTGACAAAGATACTGGTTAGTAATTTCTTGAAGTCGTGAAAGAACCTAAGTTGCCAAAGTGTATTAGGGAATATTTTATGACTCAGATGTGTCTAGGGTAGACTATGCCACAAGAACTGGCATAGGACCGACTCTTAGTTCCTTTGTAATGGAATCTCATTTGCTGCCCTTCTGTGTTTTTTATTATTTCATTCAACGTGATTTCTCATAAGACAATACAATGCAACTATTGTACAGAATTAGAATATTTCCTAGGTAAGACACAAAGCCTTAAATTCAATGGCAATTTAATGCCTGTGCTATTGCTCTCTTTTCATCTTTGATTTTTTGAGGCAGACCTCTCCCAGAAATGTCAATGCATATAAAGAAAGTACATAAACTCACATTTTGCAAAGCCAAGTGTGACATCCTCATGCTACTCAGAAATCTGAAATTTCTCAGGATGCTGGTTTGTCGTAGGAAGAGTAATATAAAAAGGCCTGTGGTGATAAACACTTACCATGTTGCCACACATACCGCTCAAAGGTGGTGAAGTAACACAAGGCCAGGTGCAAGGTCAGAGGTTAGACTGGGCTGGGCTAAATGGACACACACCTTGTGTCTCTCACCCGAGGATATGACTGCAAAGGAGAGTTTGGAATTCAATTAAAAACTGTCCTTCCTTAGAGCTGAAATCTGAGTCAAATCCCACACAGTTAAAGGTCAAGATACTGTTAATAAGTGACAGTGACCTGTGATGCACATGGCACCAAAATCACTAAAAATCATAGTTAGACTTAACTGTATGACTATTCAAAAACCACAACAAGTCACTTCACTACATCACAAATACCAGACCATTCTGCTTCAACTCCAGCCTGTTCAGTGAAGTCGATGTCTTGTATTTCTGTGGTACCAAGTTGGGGTTTCTCAGTCCTTGTATGATTCATGATCCTATTTTCCTTTATTCCTAATCAATCAGTATTTTTATGTTTATCTATCCTTATCCTAAATGCCTCAAGAGATGTGCAGGACTTAATCAGAGCACATGAAATATCTGATTCAAGTGATGAATTCTAAAGTCTGTTTTTAATGCACACCATTTCAGTGGACCACATCTTTTACGAACCCGAGTACTATTTATATGCTTATTTTTGTGGGTTGTGCCAGAGACCATGAATATATTGCATCATGTGTTTTTAAAAGTACAGAATAGATGGAGAAACCATTAGAGGTGAAACTCAATTCAGCCTCCTTTAGGTACGTACGATGCAAATTTCTCTTCTTCTGAAGCAGCTTCTCTTGCAGGCAGCAGTGACCCTGCAGTGGGTGTCTGCCCCGGGCCGCCTCAGCAGGAGGAACGGGAGGATCAGGCCTCGCCAACCCCAGTCTTCGTGCTGGACATCAGCCACCTCGGTCCCTGCTTGAGACAGGACACAGCTGGGATGGAGAAACATGCCAGAGGTGCTTCCTGGAGTCGGGCAAGTCGGAAATCCCAAACCCCTACGAGGGGCAGTGCCAATTGCCCTAAAGTGACTGGGAGAGTCCGGGCTAGAGCAGTCCCTTCCCCAGCTGGAAATCCCCACATGTTTTCACATCAGCCTCGACACTTTGGCTCCGACTGGGCCAAATCCCCCCGCCTCTGCCTCAGTCTCGAGCCCTGGCGCAGAGCGTGGCACCGGCTGCCGAGTGTCCCGGCGGGGCTGGGGACAGCCCGGCTCCTGCCCGTGCCGCCGGTGCTGTGGGAAGAGAGAGCTGGGCTCCCGACGGCACCCCCGGGAGTGCGGAGAGTGCCGGGCCGGTGGCTCGGCGGGGCCTGGATCCGTCCGTGCCCGAGGGGTGTCCTCGGGGCCGCGCTGGGATGCGGGACCGACCCGCGCCCGGCGCCGAGCGCTCGCCGCCTCCGTGAGCGCCGCCGAACATGTTCCTGGCAGGCGAGGCCAGGAGAGATGCAGAGAGGCTCGGGGCACTTTTCCAACAGTTCCTCCGCCGGGAGAGCCAGTGGCACGGCGCGGCGCCGCAGCCCGCCGCTCTCCCCGGCTCCCTGGAGGAGAAGCAGCCCGGCCGCCATGCAGCGAGGCAGGGTAAGGGGCTGCGGGCCGGGGGCTGCGGGGCGCGGGCGGGCGGGCGCGGTGTCCCCAGTGTCCCCATCCCCCTGACGGCCGCGTCCTTGCAGGTGCGGGCGGCGCTGGCGGCGCTGCTGGCGCTGCTCTGCGCGGCGCTGCTCCCGCTCCGCCCGGAGGCCGCCAGGGCGCCCAAGCAGCGGCCGGCGCGGACCCGGAGCTGCGGCGAGCGACCCGAGGAGCTGCTGGAGCAGCTGTACGGGCGGCTGGCGGCGGGCATGCTCAGCGCCTTCCACCACACCCTGCAGCCCGAGCCGCCGGGCCGCCAGCACAACGCCAGCTGCCCCGCCGGGACACGGCCGCCCGCAGACAAGAGGGTCCGGCTCCCCGTCAACCTGCGCAGCGCATCGCCCTGGGCGTACAGGTGACTCCGGGCGCCGGGAAAAGGGGGTGCGGCCGCCTCCGGGGGGCTGAAGGGAGCCGAGGCGGTGTCCCCGTGCGGGACCGGCAGCGCCGTGCCCGGGGCGGCTCGGGAGGTGAGGGGTAGCCGCGGCACCGGGCAGCAGCCTGCAGGAACAGGGAAGGTGCTAAAGCACACGTCTGAGCAGGCGATGTAAGGTAATTATGTAAAAACAGCTTGTGTGAGGAATATGCCTAAAGGGCGAAAAGAGAAATGAGTGAGGTAGAGCAAGTCGAGAGATGGAGCTCACACCCACATCCACACCCACCCGGGAGCACAGACCACCCTCAAAAAGTCACTTGGGCAAATAGTCAAACATGACAATCAGAGAACTCTCAGAAAAGGACCACCACCGAAGAAGCACCTCTTGACTCTGCAGCAGGCACAGAGGGGCTCAGACGTTTTCCCCAAAATGTGGCTCCAGATGCTCTGCTGCTTCTAAAGCACATCTGGGTTCAGCCTGTGTTCTGGTCACCTACCAAACTCTCCCAAGGGCTCAATGTCCCCTTTGCTGTCTGTAGGAACGTAGGCAAGAGTACAGCAATATTCCTGTGTTAACACCTGCGTTTTCAACCTGTGCTTTGCAAACCTCCTTCCCCTGAGGTGGAAACAGGGGCTGACAGACTATTTTGGTGGGGCATAAAAACAACTAATTAAAGTGAATTTGTTGTGAGGCTAGTTAATACACGAAAAGAGGGCCTGCACTTCTATAGGAAGCTCTGGAAAAGCTTGGGAATCACTGATCTAGTAAGCTAAACCCAGCGTGTGATCACATTCTCAGAAGACTGTGAAGTCTTCTGGTGGTTTGAATAAAACTGAGTTCTGTTTACAGCTTTCTGTAAAGGACTGCAGACAACAGGAAGCTAAAACGTGCAAACTTAAAAGGATCTGACTTTCTTGCTACTTTTTATACATTATCCCTGGTATCTGCTTTGATGCAGTTCCTGTGTATTCAGCAGACAGTTATCTCCTTGTTAGGCTCTCCAATAAATATTTATTTTATGGCATGGGTTTTGCTCGCTTGTAGTGTAAGAAGTAATCCTACTGAGTTTATTTGCTCAGTAAGCCTTTCATAAGCAAAGTATTTTTAGCAATACATTTTCTCTAAGAAGACTGAGGATTTTTAAGCTACCCAAGAGTGCACAAAGCAAATACCACGAACGAAACACCTACCATTGGGCTAAGGTATTTTTCACAGTGGTTTTGCAAAATACTAGTGCTATCAGAAAATTGTTCCTCTGGTTTGAAAACAGTGCCTTCCATCCTTCCATCTTGTTGGGCAGGTATTTATTTTCAGTTGGAGGCTTACTTCTTAATGGAGAACCGGCTGCTTTTTGGGGCTTGGCTTACAAAAGTAAATCCACTGTACTTTTCATCAAAGTGTTTTCAGACACTAACCATTCACATACAAGTAACTTGATGACATCTCCAAGCTATGAATTTTAAAAGATAGTGGGGAAGAAGCATTACACTATTAAAAGCAAAATCTAAAATTATATTCAGAGGGAAAAATGTTTCTCTAGGGTAAAGAGGCCTGAGTACTCTGTCTAGTCAACAGATCTCATTTGCAGCTTTTTTTGTGACTGTTTTCACTATATCGCTAGAGCGCAATGAGACAGCAACAGATACCTCAAGATGTGCAATTAAAATGTAAAATATAAGATTCCTAACATGCATTAGCTATTGCCACCTGCTATCTCATAGATTTTGAAGCTAGGTGTGAAATTATTTTTTTGTTCTGTGGTCTTAAACTGGGTGCCCTGGAAGCTCCTTAATCCCATTAGAGTTACTCCTTACCTTTGAGAGGGACACACAGCTCTCCTTTAAAGACTGCAAGTAATGTCCCATTATGCTTTGTCAATCGTTAACCAATTTCACTTATACAATCCCAACAATTTCTTCTCCATGGCTGGAGTGTTAATCTGAAAAGCTGCAAGTGGCTCTCTTCTGTACTACAGCCCTTTCTTGACAAACCTACTTCCATTTAATTATTTTCTCTCATAAATTGCTCCCATTCACAGATTAATTACTGTCTCCTGAACTGCCTTCTGAATCACCAAAGCTGTTTTAGTGGTGAATGCTCATAAATAAATTCACTGTAGGCAGACCCCCCCCAGTATACCCTGACAGGACACTGCTCAAAGGCTGAATTTGACTGCTTGAAATGTGCATCAAGATGCCTGTCCTGTTCCAGCATCTCACAGACATCCTACTCTCCAGCTTCTTTTCTGCACCTAAAAACTTACAGTGCAATTAATTTCTGCTCTGTGCATAAAAGCTCTTTTTTCTTTTTGACATGCATTTTAATGCCTGAGATACCTCATGCTGTTTCTCTGTCTTCATTGGTGTTGCAGCAGTTCCCATTGTTACCATCTGCAGATTTCATTAACATACTGTTTATACTCCGTATCCCAGGTCATTAATAATAAAGATATTAAGTCTGGCTCTACTTACCTTCCCCTGAATATCTCCCCAGGCACCTGCTCCCAGCTGTTTAACGCTGCTGCTTGTAATTCTTCTGTTCACATGACTGTTCAGTCCAAGTCAACTGGAATTTTCTCTTATCAGCATTTATGAGAAAGAATCAAATATATTACATAGAGAACTGTGTATAATGTTGACTCTGCTGCATCATCTGTATCCAAGCCTATCATTCTGTTTAAGTGTGGAAGAATTAGGCTTGAATGGCTCAAAGCTCAGATAATCTTTGTATGGCTTATTTGCTTGTCTTTGTTTTGTGCTTACTGTTTATTTTCCATTGCTTGGTCTCTTAATTTGGTTATACAAAAATCAAGACTTAAATAATTTTTGCCTTGCTGCAACCCAGAAATACAGGAGTTGTACATGGATTGCACCACAGATCCATCTGGTCCCTGACCCTGCTGCTAGCATCAACCAACAGGTGGTATTTAAGGCAAAAGTTAGGGGAAAAATACTAGTTCGTGTGTCTGATACTGAAATTCCATCCTGGTGGCCACAGGAGATCAGTATATAACTCAGGGCACAGAGTTTAATCACGCAAATCACTCTTTGCTCTGCAGAGCTATAAAGAGACAGCAGAGTTCCCTGAAGTCAGTTGAGCACGCTGGATTTGCTCAGCAGGTCAGGAAGCTGGGCTACAAATTACCCAGCTTTTTAAAAAGCTAGACCCAGCAGAAGATGTTCTGTCATGAAATCATCCTTCCATGAAATCATCAGGCTGACTGTGTGCCAGCTTTTGACATCTATCCAGGGGTTGCTTGTCCTTTTTAGCAGTATTACATGGACAGTCAATGAAACCCAGAAAGCCTACTTGTACAAGGAGGTTCTGGAATGGACAACTTGGCTACTGCTATGGTTCGGAGATGCTTAACAATAATTAATGATAGGTGGACCTGCAGCCCCTGCTGACAGCACAGGATGGGTGCTCTTGTTAACATTTACAGAAGCCACGGTCATGGTGATTCATTAGCAGTGCAAGAACAGCTCCAGAGATGCACAGTAAAGTTGCTCATGGACAAGAGCCACTATGAAAAGGATTAATTTTAAATGTCTGCCTAGATATTTGTGGGGTCTGATCATAAAGCTCAGAGTAAACATTGAAAAATCTGATCCTGCTGAAGTCAGCAGCACTTTTACAGGTAGTGCTGATTTGCGATTCCATTCATGGTGCTGCAGAGCACAGATGACATTCATTAACCAGCTGTATATATCAGCTCTATTTTTATTTTCTGATGTCTTAAGGCTATAATAACAATCATAGCTAGTTTGCAAACACACTTCTATGTGAGTTTAGCAAAATTTATGTGTATTCAAGAAGTCATTCATGTTTCTGTATTTCCAAATCCTGTGGCTTTTGTTTCTACCTCTGGGGCCTAATCCCACATCTACTAATAGTTAATTTACAAAGATTTAACTTTTATCATCGGTGTCGCTCTGATGGTGTTAGCCAAGTTAGCCAGTCACTCTCTCAAACATTGCCCAGCTTGTTTTTTCTGTTTTTCAAAAACCAGTTTCAGTTTATAAGCATCCTTGTTTTAGTGCTCATTTACATAAAATCTTAATGAAAGTAATACAGGCAAGTCATTTTTCACTGGTAAAAGCCAAGATTGTCTGCAGTGTGTTTGAACAAAGTTATACAGGAAAGCTTTCCTTCAAATAATACTCCAGCCATTTTCTAGAAGCTTATCCAAGGCATTTTCCAGGATTTAACATTACCATGTGACACGGTGTGCATGTCCCAAAGATGCAGCCAAGGGCAAGAATACAAGGGGATGCAGAGCTGCCACCCTTTTTAGTTGAGCACATTTGTACAACTCTTTAGAAAATCAGTTAGCACTGGGCTACCTATAGTAGTAATAGCTATGTTGCTGCCTGTATATAAAACAAACTAAGCAGCACATGAACAAAAGAACACCTGCTATAAGGAAATAAATGTCTTGGCAAGGGGGAAAAAAAGCTGTTCACTCTTAATCCTGTAAGCATTTCAGAGTGTGAAGGAAGGGGATGATGATCTGCTTATTAGGCTTTTGATAACATCCAGCTGTTAGCCCAGTGCTAGCAGTGATTTTCTGAAGACTCGGCTCCCTGCCCCAGCACAGCATCTGACCCTCTGGAATCAGAAGCTTGGAAATTATGAAGTGACAATATTGTTAAAAATACTACATATAAAAGTAGCAGGAGAAGGCAGATTAAGTCTCTGCAATAGTTTTACTTCTGACAGAAAGTTTTCTCTTGAGTTTCCAGGCTTAGTACATAAATGGCAGGAAGTTTGTTTTTCACTGGGAGCTCTCAAAGCACTCATAGGGTCATAAGGAAAAGCAGCCGAGTCACACTTCATTAGCAGTTCCAGTTCAGTACAAACCTGTTTCTTGTTCCAGCAGATGGGAATAGAGCAGCCCAGCACAGCTCACTGATCCTGTCACTTGTGAACCAGGAGTGCTGGCGAGGCAAACAGCCTTATACAGTGGTGACCTGAGTTCACAGGAAAAGGCAATCCTCATGGAAGCATCTGAGCTGTCTGGTTTGCAGCAGTGGCCACAGCAAGTGACACAAGACTGCAGGGGACACTTGAGTACCAGTGCAAAGCTGCACTTCTCTGGTTTGCCACCACTCTTCCATTTATCTCTTGAGCATAGGAAAGATGTAGCAGGAACTTGGAGTATGCATTTTTACCTGGTTAATTAAGCTGGTCAAAAGTGTTTACCCTCTTCCAGGAGAAGATGTTAAAACATGTGGTGGTTGGAGTAAAGGAGAGGAATCCAACTACAGCAGCTGGGGCAGCGGTCATTTTCTGCACAGAGTGACTATGTTCAGCTCATGCAAGCAGAAGGAAGCAGGTCCAGCTGCATTTATTCAACTAAATGCTGGGTGTTACTGGTGTTTGTTAGTGGACCTGACCACTAACCCAGTTGGTCTGGGTTGCCTAGAAAGACACAGATGAGGATTTATTTATATGGCTTTTCTAAACAGGGTTGATCTGAAGATGTAGAACCTTGTATATGGCTCCAAATTTCAATGACATTTGAGATAAGGAATTAATTTCAGGAGGCATTACTTAGAGGCTTCAGCCTTTAAGTTCTGGCTTGGATGCAAAACCACATCCATATTTTGAATCTGTCATTAAGTTTGGACTCTCTCTGATTCCTTCCAGTCCTCACATGATGTATTGACATCAAACTTAGTAATATAAGAGATTTTCCCCCTCAGAAAGTAGAAAACCATGCCACAAATACAGCATCTTTCAAAAACCCCACCCCATTAATACCTGACTTTTTCCATGTGGGAATTTGGAGGAGAAAGATAGTTGGAGACCATGATTCCAGCGACAGTGCTCTGCTGGTATGAGTGAAACCTCTCATGTTTGCATGCAGAAGCATGTACATGTTTTCCAGTAACATCTTAAGCCAGGTGCTAGAGATAATACAGTAGAGGAAATACCAATAACTTGACACATGGTGTGTTTAACAATCCACCACTGAAATTACTCACACTTGAGTTTGAAATGGGAATGTATCACAGTAGAAAGGCCTGTGTTCCCCTTTCTTCTCTTCTGCTGGCTACCATTTTATTTCACACTGGTGTGAGATCCTGTAACATGAAGGTATTTCCTGGGGAAAGTAAATGAATATAAATGGGACAGAGGAGTATTGCAAAAAATATCTGCAACATCACAGATATCTGGCTATAAGAGAACTGGTCTGATTTTTTGTGAGGAAAACAAATTATTTAAATTTAATTTTTTAAAAATATTTATACACAATGTTCATTCTATATACATATGAAAGTCTCTTCCTTGATGACAGGATAATCAAGTTTGTGTTTGGCAAAAGCTGTGATTCCAGATTTCCTTTAACTGATAAACTAGTGATACTTCTGAAAAGGGCATCTCCCTTCTCTCCCTGCCTAAAGCTGCTTGTTCACTCTGGCTGGTTGGTGCAGAGCTCTGTGTACATGTGTGGCAAGACAGCTGAAAGACCAAATCCCAGCTTTTGATGGAGTAATTCCTTAGTTGAATGAATCCCTTGATCAATCCTGTGACCAGAAAAACATCTGTGTCAACCCAAAGGCAGGTGTGAGAGGGAGAGCCAGGCTGCCTGTTTTCACAAGGACAGATTTTGTTGACTAGCAGTGACTGCAGTCACAGCTTGAGGCTGACTTAGGGTTCTGCCTCTTCCAAACCTGAAACCTCTTCTCATCCCAGAGACAGCCTGAAGAGATAAAAGGCAAACACTGATACCCAAAGAAGTGCTGCCAACCCTGGGAAACACAATTTAGAAATTGCTTTAAATCTATTAAGATAACTTTAAGACCTATTAAGACATCCCACCTGGAAGACTGCATCCAGCTCTGGGACCATGCCTCAGTTTGAAAAAACAGGTATCTGCTAAGGAAGGCAGGAGCCTCCCTTGAAATGGAAAATGTAAACCCCCTCTCTCCAAATTATTATAATTTTGAAATTAAGGGGCTCTCAGGCAAAGATATGGGAGTAGGAATAACAGTTCTTTACTAGTATGTATAAATAAAAAAACCCTACAACTTAATAGGAAAATTAAAATAAAATGCAGTAGTACAAAAATCACTGTCAGAGTACAACCTGATACCCTGTTGGGCAGGGTGTTGGTAGCAGTCTGAATGGTGGCTGCAGTCCTCCCGGAGTGACAGATGTGGTTCTGTTGAAGCAGTGATCCTCTGAAGATCCAGTGGTGATGTAAAATGGTCTGGTCTTCCTGTGGGAATCCAGTGGAAAAAGGCTGCCTGTGGTGTTCCAAGTCCCAGATTATATTCAGGTAGGAATGCTTGGCTCCTCCCCTGGGTGGAGCATCTCACAATGGGATGATGTAATTTAATCAGTCATGCAGTGAGACTCAATGGCCCATTAACAGAAGATGTCCCCCTGGAGGGAGGATGGAAGATATAAGGAACACTGCCCCACCTGGTTTTAACAGATGGTAATAGAATACATACTTTTGGTTACATCTTGCATTGCAGCCTAAGACAGACCACAACACAAGAAGGATGTGGAACTGTTAGAGTGAGTCCAGAGAAAGCCATGAAAACACTCCTCAAAGGGATGGAGAATCTCTCCTATAAAGACAGGCTGAACGTTCCAGTTTCTAAAGGGGGCCTACCAGAGAGCTGGAGAAGGACTCTTCACAAGGGCATGGAGTGATAGGACAAGGAATAATGGCTTTAAAGTGGAAGAGGGCAGGTTTGGATCAGATACTGGGAAGAATTAAGAAGCGAGGGTAGTGAGACACTGGCACAGGTTTCCCAGAGAAGCTGTGGATGCCCCACCGCAGGAAGCTGCAGTTTATCTCAGTGTGGGCATAAAAATGTTGTTCTTCTCTGGTTAGAGGAAGATACAGTGGACATGAATTAGAAAAAGCAATACAGAGTTCTTTCAAGGGGAAGGCACATTTATGACCCCAAGTATACTAGGGAGAAAAACCTATTGCAGAAATAAAAATATAATTCAATTCTATTTAAATCACTAAATTTTAAAACAACATGTCATGGCTTTAACAATAACAATGTTAACAGGGATTTAGACCAGTTTTTGAAGAACTCAAGGCAGATAAAAAGTTTAGAAATGCCCAAGTGGCCTTTTTAATGCTCTGTTTACCCATTTGGTCCAAAATGCAAAACTCATTCTGTTGAAACCCTTGAATCTCATAATTCAGAAAGCCAGACACTTCATACTCCTCTGTGTACTGTAGAACCTAATCAGTTCTGTAAGCTGTTCATGTTTTTTTCTTTACAAATTAGAAGCCAGACAGCAACAGCTACAGCTATTTTTCCTGGCGAAAACAACAAAAACATATTATTATTAGAATAATATAATAATTATAATAATATATAAGATTATATAATTCCAGATTAACATACCTGGTTTTAGAGGTACCAATGAACCTTTATTTGCTTCCCTCTAGAATTTCCTATGATCCCACGAGATACCCTAAATACATTCCCGAAGCCTACTGCCTGTGCAAAGGCTGCCTGATGGGGATCTTTGGCGAGGAGAGCTTGCACTTCCGCAGCACCCCGGTGTTCATGCCCACGGTCATCCTGCGCCGCACACCCGCCTGCGCCGGAGGCCGCTACGTCTACACCGAGGATTACATCACCATCCCTGTGGGCTGCACCTGCGTCCCTGAGCAGGAAAAGGAGGCAGAGAGCGTCAATTCCAGCATAGATAAGCAAGAAGTGAAGTTGCTGGTGGGCCAGAACAAGCCCTCATCAGAATGAAGAATGTATAAAAAGTCATCTTTCAGTACTGGCCTCACATCACCATCTCACCACCTCAGGAAACTGCACCAGAGCAGCAAACAGACTCACTTGCCCTCTTTTTCTGCTTACAGTTATTTCAGATAGAAGATGGAAAGCCCAGTCATTCAGATCATTAGAGATGGCAATTAATTCAACTTCTTTAGGTCATGTAAACTTATTTAGTTCATTATTGCAAACTCCAAAGTAGCCTTTTTTTTTTCCTTAGAGCTGAACATTTTATATTTGCTTATTCACAGTAAATTTTAGAAGATAATGCAACTGTAAGACATCGTAGCTATTACTATAACAGGCTACTGGTTGTAGATATTTTTAAGGAATCTCTTATATTCTATTTTTAGGTACCCTTATATAAAATTCATGTAGCTGCTGTACATGGGACAAATCAGCAGTTAAAAGGATAATTTCTGAGGCTGGGAGAGCCTCCCTCTATACTGCATAATCTCCAAGATTTGCCTCTGAGCTCTTATCTCTTTGGCTAATTTATATACTACAGGAAGGAGATGTTTCCCAAGTTGGAGTCATTCATGAAGCAATATTCTATGTGCTTGCCATTTTTAAACTTGCCAAATTGCTAAGGGTACAAAGGTGTTGAGAAAAAACTTGCTAGAATATTGTAAAAATGCAGCAGACCTTCTTGATGTGGACTAAGTCTAATTCTCAGAAAATGTAAGTTAGAAAAAACACAGTTTGGGTCTCAAGAATTCTGTATTTGATTTCATCCATCACTGACCACTTAACTACTTTGTGATAAAACTATGCTCCATGTAGCTGAAAGACCAAAACCCTTTTTGTTGTAGGAGAGGAGATTCCCCATTAAAAAGTAAGTACCAAGGATCGGCTTCTGCTCAGGTGCACTGCAGGCGAGCAAGGAGGCTAGGTCTTAACTTCCAGATCCTACAAGAGGTCATTGAGTTGAGTCCCAGACAAGCCAAACTTGTTAAATCAAATTGATTTTTATAATTACTGTTACTCCTTTCTCCTTATGCTGTATGTAACAGACCATCACCTGCAAAAGCTGATGCTCTGTGGATGAGCAGCCTTCCATATGTGCAGCCTACTGCTGATGGAACTTGATGGCAGGTCCTCACAAGAAACCCTGCATACACAAAAACTTGCATTTCCAGAACAAGAGACTGAAGTTGACTCAGCCTAATGAATGAGAATCAGGAATGACCAAGCATGCCTTGCACAAACATAATTCCTCAGAGGGCACACTCTCCAAAACCGATAAACCTCTGAACGCATAGCAGAGAATCTCTTTTACAGCTGAAGGATCATGACTGCAATATTGTTACAGAACAAACATCATATGCAGCAATGTATCTGCTACATCACGAATCTCAAAATTTGCCTTAATTCATAGCAGAGAAAGCCCCTACACTACACAAACACAGTCCTCTTTGGAGTGCTGTTGGAAGAAGAATGGAAAGACTATGAGCTAATCACAATTAACAAGTTGAAGACAGAATGGAAGTTATATGACAACTCCATGTCTTGTGCATAACTATTGACTGTGCTTTCTCTGACTCAGTCTAGTATAACAGTATTTTTATAGTGCAATCTGTGAAACTTCTTACAAAGCCTAAAATAACTTTAAGAACTCCAGAAACAAATAAAGATTCCCATCATGACGTCAGATTGAAGTTTGTAGCTGTGTTTTTTGTGTGGATGCTTTTCCTCAATTCTCCATGTCTTCAGACCCGTGTTTCCTCAGATTGGGTGTTTCTATCTCAATGGGATCCTCAAAGGTGAGTTCAAAGATGGTCATAAAACGTTTATACTACTCAGAGAACAGCTAATAGCCTGGCTGCTGCCAGCAATTATAGGTAGTTACCTTTTCCCCAGAGAATGTAAAGACTTGCAGCAATTACAACTTTTTTCCTTCCTCCTAATGTGGAGGAACTTCTCACCCTCTGAGCAGAGAGCAATGGTAATCAAAGGGGTTCAAAAGGGAGGCTGACCCACAAAACTGCAGAAACACTGCACTAGGTGATGTTTCAGTAGCCTGATGCCTTCCAGTTTCACCATTACATTGTGAGGTTTTTCTCCATATGTACACTTAAAGCAGTGTGAAGTTGAACCTTCAGTCTCCACGGCATAGAAAGCGAAGTCTTCACCCTAACAGGCAATAAAATGACCCCAAACAACAGCAAAATATCCAACCATGCAGCACTTAACTTGTAATAAATACCCAGAGGGGCTACCAGCTAAGTCTGGCCTAAGTCTGCCCTCCAGCAGAACTCATTGTCTGCCCACACACTTTTGTTATACAAATTTATCTGCAACAAATTAGTTATTAGAGCACATGAATATATTTGCATGATGTGGTGGAAAAAAAAAAAATCTCATTTTTTTATTGCAACTCTCCTGTCCTCCAGACATAAATCATGGAGTCATTTTGAGGTCTTCAAGTAACTAGAGCATGTTCAGGGAATTCCTGGGAGGTGCATGCTAAAATCAGGTAAATGGAACAATCAGTTTGTCTGATCCAGAAAAGTAGATGCTTCAGATTATAGAAAGTTTCAGAAATTGGATGACTGAAAGTAGTTGAGAACTGCAAAACTTCCATTGGTCAACAGAGCGCTTGTGTTGGTGACCTCCTCATCACACTGCAACAAGTGCAGAAAGTTTCCCATGGTTCAGGCATCTTTATGTGATTTTGTTCAGAAGCACATTTTCCCTTCTTAATCCTCTTTTTCCTCTGTGACAGACTTTTTAGCTGAGCCAATCTGCTTCCTGATCCAGCTTCCAGTTTGGTGTCTCTTAAAAGCTGATTATGTTTTAGCACAAGCAACTGTTTGATATTTTGGTAGTGAACAAGAGCTATTAGCTACACAAACACTTGCTGGCCTTCAAAATATCCTTCCATATATCCTTTCTCTCCACATTACTCATGTGGGAAAGGTTGAGTGTTAAATGTAGTTTGCATTTGTTTGGAATTGTTTGTTTTTTTAACAAGGTCATCACATCATGGATTTATATCAGTTTCACTTCAAATGTGGTGTGATATTTTCCAGCTTCCAGCCCTCTGGTTACAGCTGCTGAAGCCTTTAATTTGCATGGGGGAGGGAGTGTTCCTTGGAGTTGCTTCAAGGCTTCACAAACTGTTGACAGAAGGCAGACATGAAATGCCTCACTGAACCAACTCCAGGCCCAATAAATGCAAACAATTCAAAGCTAGAACTATCTGGCAGCTGCAGCTGATTTGAGAATTTTTTTTGTTGTGCTAGGAAAATCTTTCCTTCAACAAGGTTGTCCCTGGAATACATTAGGACCCACAAAACACCGAACAATATCCTCAGTAAAGAGATTATTTTCTTGTCTGTGTTATCACTTAAGGTAATTTGGAAAATTCCAATCATTCAGGAAGTCTGAGGAAAGCCTGAGATGCTAGTTTGGGTTTACTTGCTGGTCATCACCTGAAGGTGTCTGTCTGAATAGGTGAAGATCTACAGCTACAGGTAAACAGGGAATTGCATGGGGGAACATGAACATGAAAGCAGCAGGAAGAAAAGGGAAAAAAGCTGTGATGTGCTCAGAAAGTAAAAACACCCATTAATCTCACTGGGACTAGGGAACAGCTGTAACAACTGCCTGGACTAGGGTAGTTAAAGAGGCTGTAGCACATATGACTGTGCAGTCATAAATGCCGCTGGAAAAGTAGCATGGTGCTGACACTTCACCAAAGCCTGTTCCATCAGAAAGTCCATCCATCAGACACCCCCAGTAAAGTCAATCACTACTTGACACTGGTATTTTTATTCACAATCCTGCTACAGAAGAAAAGAGGGTTTTGCTGTCACATACTATTTCTTAAAGTTACCACACTGGCACAAAATACAAATTCACTATGGATATTTGTGACTTGTACCCTTCTCAGAAACAGGAATCAAGTATGACTAAAATAGTTTAACTCCTTTCACTGATGAAGGCTGTAAATGCCACTAGTCAAGCTCTGCTTGGGCAGCTGCCTGCACTCTCCAGGCTTTTAAGAGGGAAATTGGTGGACAACAGGCTGCTGTGTTGAATGCATCTGCACAGATTTTCATGTACCCTCAGTTTCATAACTATGCATCTTCACAGTGCCCCTTTTCAAAGTGGTCTGACCTACATGTGAGAAGCAGCAGTGATTTTCTTGGAAGTGAGCCTCTTGGTACAACTGAATGGTGCACTTTTTAAGAAATACCTCTGATGAAGTTAGCCAAGTTGACTTTTAACTCTTGCTATGGGGAGCCCAATAACACATTTACCAAACTGAAGTGAGCCAAGCAGCAAAGCTTGTTCAATTTGAACAGCACATTCTAATTTAGGTGGGTGGCAGGGGAACAGTATCATCCCTTCCAGCAATCATACCTGTCCCACTTGAAGCCTCTGTGTAGTTAAAAACAAAGTTTCACGAGTTACTTCATTGTCTCCATCTGCTTGGTGTGAAGACACCGAGGTAATAAACCAGTTTAAAGTACAGTTCAGTGCCAGCAGCTATGCAGTTACAATTGTGATTTGCTTTATTTTCAATCTGGCCACATAAAAGTGATGGTGTAGCCTCCTGGAAAACAACTAAACCCAGATGTATTTCACCTGTGGACAGTCATTTCCAGGGGAGTTCTGGCTTAGCAGCAAGGATGGCATCTGGTTTGAAAGGCCAAGACTGTATGGGCCCTGGGCTCACAGACCAGAAAGGAGAGGCCAGTGCCTGTTCTCCCTGTGAGCACTTCCTCTGCTGCACTTCCCTCATTTTAACAACACCTGTGACCAGTCTGACAGAAACCAAGGCATGTCAAAGAAGAAGAAAACTGTTACCATGGAACACTATATGCAGCAAAGAAGCAGCAGGTATAAAATATGACGAGGGCAAAGCCTTGGGAAGCAAACAGATCTCTTGGAAAATAGGGAGGAGAGCTACAGTGGCTTGGGTGGATATTTATGATCCACAGTTGTGTCCAGCTCAGACAGCACCATTCTCTGAGTGCCTCTCTGAGGGAGGATTATAATCTGTCTATATTATTTCTGCTCGGCTGTTTACTCCACTAGATGGGAAAATCTGCATTCAAACAGCAGAAAGATGAGTATTATCACTGCCTTATAAAAAGTCTCATATCACAAGCTTAATTAGGTTTATTCTCACCACAAAATAAATTTAGTACTTGATTTTATGTGATTCAGTTTGTAGATGCAGCATTTTGGTTAGCCTTTACACAGTGTGGCATACAAAGACAAGTGCTTGTGTTTTGTAGAGTGTTTTTAGAGATTATAAGTGTTGAATGCCTTGAAAGTTATGAACTAACTTTCAGCCAAAAATACTTTAGTAGTGTAGTTAAAAGGTTAGTCAAAACTGGCTTTAAAAATCCCAATTATCAAAAATCTCTACTTATGCAAAGTTTTTCCAACATATCATCTATTTTGACTAACATATAATCCAAACCTTGAATATAAATCTAACACTTTTCTATTTGAAACAGTGGGAGTTTATCAATATGTTATTCCTCAGTGGCCTTGTAAGATTCAATGATTTTTAAGATGCTTCTATTCTACTGCTCTGCTGCTGTCTGTAGAACAGGAGAAAAAGATAAAACCAGACAACTGAAAAAAAACCCATTCTTGTAACTATAAACTTGACATACCTGCAGATCCTCTTTAGTTTGATATTGAAATTATTAAAAAGCAAGCACTACACTTAATCAGAGCCATTGTGGTTCAAGATTTAAGGGACATGTATGGGCCACATTACTACAGAAGTATCAAACTCTTTGGCAATGATGATTCTGATGCCTGCAAGGCAAACACCTATGTGTTGCTATAAGCTAAAATCACTTCTAAGAGCTCACTGATGTGTCCTCAAATGGTAAAAGCTACCATTAAATGAAACTCCAACAGAGAAGTTCCCATTATCCAGCACCTGCATTGCTTGGTCTGCATTCACCTAATATGAAACACAGTAACTGCAAATGCTTACTCATTTAAAAGAGAGAGGCTATCACACTCTGTTGATTCCAGATATCTCAGAAAACAGTACTCAGAGCTATATATTTCAGCTCTGAGAAATGGGGTGTAACTGACAAAAAACAGAAAGAAACTTGACTTGTTGTAGATCTGTAGATGATCTTAGGAGAATCAGTCCAGTCCAGAAGCATAGTTCACATAACATCGAAATTCATTGGCTAAATTTCGTGAGTGTTTTGGAATAAACTTGCACATTTTCACACCAAGATGCTTTGCTGCCTGTTCCTCCATGACTGCACCTGCAGCAAAAATAATTCATATTCAAAAAGAAAGAACAGTTACAGAATATTTGAACTTTTTTAATAGCTCCTCCAAAATGCATACATAGAGAGGCTGTTTTTTTTAAGGAAGGCAGGCTTAAAGCAGCTACACTCTCCCCCTTCCTTAACAGCAGAATCTATTGGGAAACTTATAATAAATCTAGAAAAATGGAAGACATCCCAAGGAAATGAATGTCCAAGAAATTTCATAAAAATAAGTAGAGGGTATCAGTGTCCTTTTTACAGAAAGCAAACTTGAACTCAGTCTTCTTGCTACATTCCAAGGAAGTTAAATGGTAGGGCACCATGGGAAATGCAAACAGATTACATCTATGCTTTCACTTACATAAACCACGGTGTGATATTTGCAGCTACACTGAGAAATCACTGCTTTGAGCAGAAAACTGAAGGACCACCTATCCATTCTAGAGAAAAACTTCTGAGAACTACCCTTGTGTGTGACTGCCATGTGCACTTAAACCAAGGAGCAGGCTTTCTGTGGCCACATTATTTTAATTTTTCTTTATTTTGTCTGCTTGGCTGCCTTCCCTCAAATTGTACATACAGAGGGGTTTTTGCTTTTTGGAAAGGTTTTCCAGATGTCTTCAGATAACAATACAGTAATAACAGTACAGTTTAAGAAAAGCCATTACTTGGGTAGACATACATCACTTCTCAAACCAGCAAGTGGATCTTCCACAAGTACAGATATCTAGTTATCTGGTTTCTGCTTTTATCACTGTTTTTTAATTCCTCCTGCTGTATTTCAGCATAAACTTACACATAAACAATAACTTGCACCTGTGTCTGCCATTTCCAGATTTCAATCACTGCAATTATACAGAGTGGCCCTTCTACAAGAAAAATTATATTTCTGGAATTTTGCTGGATGACTTTATAGTTCTTCAAAAATTCAGTAAAATTCATAATGCCATAGGAAGAAAGTACTGACTTGAACTATTAAAACCAACTTGCCTTCTGTTTAAAATAAAGGCTGAACTCAAGTACTCAAATAAAAAGTTTGGGATGCATATTCTTCCTTAAACTGATGATAATTCAGATTATTGAGTTAGTATTATTAGATATTGAGTTAGTATGTCTCATGTAAGTTTGTCATTAGAAAGAGAGAAAAAGGTACTTAAGGGGACCTAATATTTTTATTAGTTATACCTGTACAAAGCAGAATCTTTCCTTTTGTTAGATATTTGATGGTCTCTGCAGTCTTTTGAAGACATTCCTCAGATAGATAGGGTGGATCAGCTATTACGATGTCAAAACTGTGTGGCAGGACATTTTCAGGTAAGTCCAAAGGGTGGTTGTAATCATAGAAGATAAATTCTTCTCCATACACAGAAAACCTTCTGTCATACTCCAGTATACACACAGAAATATCTTCACTGTCCTGTTCTTTCAGTTTCTGGTACACACTCGGTGCACTGACACACGCTATCCTAAAATAAAACCACACAATAACTTAAAATTGTCATTTTAAAAGACAAACAACAGCAATAAAACTGTACAGCAGTCCTCAGAGAGGCTTTGGGAAAATATTTTAAACATTAGTCCCAAAAGTGGAAAGTATTCTTCCTCCATTCTAACAATTAATTACTTTAGTAACAAAGTCTTAAGTATAGAAGTCAACCCTATGCTAAATAAAGATCTTAAGCTTAACTACAGAGAAAGTCTTGTTTCAGAAAAGCAAGGAAGTACACTCAAAAACTGAAAAATTACTGTTTATAAAAGTAGGAAGAAAACCAAGTTTTTTCCATCTGTCCTACAGAAACATAATATAAAAACTAAGAAAATAATTACAAGTCAATAACATGCTCTGAAGCACTTTGTATTTCTCAAAAAATTAAGAATATTCATAGTAAACTTTTACAAGGTACAGCCTACAACATTTAGTGACATAATAAACAGACAGATCAGTATAAACTATTAACTAAATAATATCAAAGCAGCTCTGCAGTTATCTCAGTTGAACATAACTGAAGTATAATGAGTAATGAATTAAACTGCATGCTCTTGTCTACATAGCAGAAACAAAATATTTGCAGAAAAGACATGTTAAATCTACAACACAATTATTAAAACCTACCTGCCACCTTTTCCAGCTGCCAGAACTGCTTCCTTAGCCAGGCACGATGCAGTTTCATCACTGTACCAAAACTGGCTCAGTTGCTGAGAAAGATAATGCACAATTACAAACAACATCAAATCTTCTGGCTCTGCTATGCAGAGTTACGTGTGGCAAGTCATAACTGAAGAAAACCACAATCCATAGCAACTTTTCAGTTCACAAACTGTCAACTGGAAAGGTGACTGTTATCCTGACAGTCTTTCTACCTCGTAACCTAGTTACAGATATACAGCAAATACCTTACACCCTTGTGTTTCCAAAGAGTGAAATGCAGTATCAGGAAAAACAAGTAATCCAAACCACTGACAAGGTATTTCAAACCCAGTGTGCAGATGCACATTATTTATGTGCTCTTAAATTGAGTTACTTCAGCAGACAAGGAAAAAGGACTTTGAAAAGTGACAGTATAGGAAGAAAGAAAAGGATAAAAAAAAAACTAAATCAGAATGGATCAGAAAAAGGAAGACCAAAAAAACCCAACCCAGAGACAAATCAGAAATCAGTCTGTCACAAATAAAAACAACCAGTAAAACAGCCATCCTCAAAAATAAAGAAATAAAACACACACACAAAAAAATGTGATATGAAAGATCACTTGGTCTTGTTACACTATGTTTGTCTCAGACTCAGGGAAGAGTCTTTACTACTATCACATCCCAGGCTGGAGTTAAAATTTCCAGAAGGGACAGATGCTTCTGTTAGCAGCTTCATTCCCTCTCCATGTACTTTCAGTTTGTACCCCCAATGCAGATGCAGAGCAAACAACTATACTCAGATTTAATACTAAAATAATTTTCCCTACAGTGTTGTCATCCATTAATAGGAATGTCTTGAGCGTTCCCCTCTTTAATTTCATTTTATTATCCAGCCACAAAAGAAACTCGGTCAGGGCTACTCCTCTATCTGTGCTTCATTTACTGAAATTTATAGTTTCTTACCCAGTCTTCTTCTATTGAACCAATGGAATATTGATTAAACCCTTGGGAGGTCTTCATGCCTTCTCTCTGCTGCTGCTCCAAATAGAACTCCTGGAGGGCAGCCAACGTATGGGATGAAAGCTGGGGGATGTCATCATCATCGTCCATTTTCTTAGATGTCAACAAGAAAAAAGAAATTAATTAAATAAACCCTTTACAATGGTGAATGTTTTTTGTAAAAGCATAATCTTGTGAGGTAAAACAACTTCCACCAAGAATGCAGCTAACTAGGAAAACCTCTAAACAAAAGAAAACTTATTCCCTCTGCTTAAGTGCTCTTAAATCAGCAAGAGGTCAATTGGAAATAACAAGTCTCCACAGAGAATTCAGGAAGAACAGCAACACTGTTCCCTTTCTATACAACATGGATTTGGCTTGTGTTCTTACAGGGAAGTTGACATTACAATTCTTCATTTCCTGTGAATCTGGAAAATCCTGTAGAAATAATTCCCTTCCTTCCTAGAAATAATGATAGCTATTGGTCATTCCTTTCCATGTTCAAAAGCCACACAATTTTAACTCCAAATGAAGTAAACCAGCATTCTAGCTTGGCATCACCTGGTTTTAACTTCCATGCCATAAAAATGATTCCTCTAAATGCCACAAATCTAAAAGGGAAAAAAACCCCAAAACACAAAAACTAAAAAAAACCACAAAGCAGTCAGGAAGCTCCAAAGAGACACGGAAAGAGTGGAAAAGTACAGCCATTTTCAGAAAGCTGCTGAAGTGGGTTCTGCCCGGAAGCATCCCTGAGCCCTTTGACCCCAGGCAGCGCAGCAGCCTCTCCCAGGGAACTGTGCCACCTCGTGGAAGAATTGCTTGAAAGGACTCAGCATGTGAAAAGCACTGGAGAAATCTGAGAAAGATCCTTCTCTCAAGAAACCCATTTTCCCTGCATCTGGCCTAAGAATCACCAACGTCTTTAACTGAGCCTGGAGACAGGGACACACCTGCATTATGCAGAAGTCACCAAGAACCACGGCCACCTGAATAGTGAGTGAACATTTTGAGTAATTTCAAGTGGAGCTGCCCATGGTTTCTCTTCTCCTCATTCCCTGCATTGCAAGGAGAGCTCCAGAACTGGCAGTCTCCTCCCCTTCAACCCTTCCTTCTGCTTTAGCAGAGCTTTCAAGATGAAGTCTCCTAAAACAGCTTCTTCCTGCTTGCTGGAAAAATGGTACCTTATCCTGGCACTGTGAGATAACGTTGCCATTCCTCTGACACAGCACACACCTAAGGACATCTCTTATCTGGCTTTTCCAGAGTATCATTTATTGACTTGCTAGCTTCTCAGGCCAGGCTGGCCGAACAGGGAATTGTTCACAGCCCAAAGACCCACCTATGACATTAGCCTCACACAAGAGAATTCCACAGTCAATCTACCTAGTAAAACCAAAATCATCATTCCTCCCCTAGATTTTGTTGAACAGAACACAAATGCTTTAAGAATATTTATGTTATAAAATTACATATTATTTAAAGTATTTATTATAGAAATGACTGTATGTCCAGACAGATAACACAGTTTCTAGCCACAATGCTCTAACAATACACAGAACCATAACAATAACTCTAACAATACATAGACCCATTTTAGGTCCTATACAACAATTCATTTTTGGTAGAAATGGTAGAAATTTGCAATCACTCCTTAACTCACAATTTTTTTTTTTATTAACTGAATGATACATACAGTAATTTGGTTTGCTATTACCCCCTAAGCAAGAACACATCTATGCTTTGACACTAAGAAACTGAAACAGCTGCAAAGTTTCTGCTTTTTAGTCAAAAGTTGAAATTTTTTGATTTTCTGTTCAGTGAGCCCATACTGGCATTTGCAAGGACTAAATCCATGCCCATGAAACCACACCCTCACAGATAAAGCTGCTGATGAAGAATTTGACATTGTTTCAGGAGATAAAAACGCATACTGCCATAGACATCTTTTATCTATTAATAATCTTTTTGTTGATTTTTTTCATAGCCTTCCTTTTGGTTTGTAAATTAAAGCCTTAGGAGCCAAGAAGTAATTAACTGTGAGGTTTTGCAAGGAGAGGTAACTCAGAACATATGCTAAAAATATTACATACACCTATTACAAATGCCTCCAAAGTTCAATATATTTTTCTGAATGCATATACTTACTCAGGTTACTAGCATGAAGACATTCTCATGCTTAAGAACTACATCAGAAAACTCTTAAAGTGAGTTTATGTGTACAAGACTTGTAAATTTCTTCAAGGGAGACAGTTCTACTCTTTGAAATCCCTTCACTATCCCTTCCAGAAAGTTCACTGCTTTCAAGTCCAAAAGCAACCCTGAAAGTTCTGTGGGAGGATGAGAAGCACAGAAACCCACAGTGCCTCTGGCATGTGGAGAACAGGTGATGAGAAAACAGTAGGAAAGACTGCTAAAAGGCCATGGAATAGAAATACAACTGGAAAGCCATGCCGTTCATCGCTAGGAAGAGTGTTAGCCCTTTAGATCTTTTACCAAGAATATAAAAAGCGTATGTGCAACTTCAGAAAATATTTTATTCTAAGAGTAACCTTGAACAAAAGGCAGAGAGCACGAAATGGAGTTAAATCTAGTTCTCTGCGTTTTTTCCAATCTGCCCAAGTCAGTCTCTGAGATAAGCAGCTCATCATCCACGGTGTTTGCAGCACACACCGAGAAAAGATGCCCAGGGGTGTGCAACCCTAATGAAAATCACCTGGAAGGGGCTGCAACCACCTGTCTGGAGGTAGAGAAGTCCTGATCTCATAGACTGGAAAGATACTAAATGTCTGGCCTTGTGCCCTGACACCTCAAAAGCCGGGATTTCACAATGCATCAAAGTGACACATAAAGTTCATAGAAGAGAAGTTCTCAGAGGATTACCAAATACGCAGAAACTACACTGGATTAGCAAAGTAAAGTCAGCAGGCCTGGTGGCTACTTCAAGCAAAAGGAAAATAGGATGTGTCCCAGCTCCATTCCCATCCTTTTGAGTAAGCACTGAGGGCGCGCAGGCGGAGCTCGAGACGGCCGGTCCCCCTACACGTGGCTGACGGGACACACGGAGGGTTCCCGGAGAAGGCCCTTTCCTGCAGTCCCCTCCCGCGTGCAGCGCTTCGAGGGCACCCTCCAGCCACACAGAACCCCGAGGAGGCAAGGGGTGACCCCGGCTAGCCCGTCCACACTTCGGCCGCCATCGCCCGCGGGGCGCAGCGGGGTCAGGCGGTGAGGGGTCGGTGAGGGGTCGGCGATGGGGTCGGTGAGGGGGCTCCGCGCCGCCGCGGCCCCGCCGCCCCTGAGCGGGAGCGCCGCCGCCCTCACGGCGGTCACGGGCGGGCGCGCGCGGATGCCCCGGGCCGCGCCTTTCCCCGCGCGCGCGCCCCTCGCGCCACTCACCGCCCGCCGGCTCTCTCCGCGCGCGCGCGCAGCTCGCCCCAGGCCCCGCCCCCGCCCCGCGCGCGCCGGGGGCCGCGCGCCCCCTGCTGGGCGCTGCGGGGAAGGGGCGGGGTCAGGCGGCACTCCCGGCCACGCCCCCTGAGGCCGCGAGCGCGCCGGGGAATTGCGTGTGCGCCGGGATGTGGGACAGGCACGGGAATGCGGCTGGGCGGCGAGGCAGCCACGGACACGCGGCCTGTCAGACTTGGAGAGCACAGGCATCCCTCGAGTTACATGTCAGGTGTTCAAAAGCCACGAGCTTCTGCCTTGCACCGCAGCCCAGAGCCCCAAACTGTTTTTCTACATCTGGCTCTTCTGTCCAGGCTTTCCATTTCTATTACGCATTAGCTGTCTGGAACAAGCTCCTTTTCTTGCATACAAACAGAAGTCCAGCCGATTCTTAGATGCTTTCAAAAGATAGCAAGTTTTAAGATACCTTCCTTGCTTAACTTTATAAAATCATAGAATGGTTTGGGTTGGAAGGGACCTTAAAGACCATCTAGTTTCAAGCCCACTGCCGTGGGAAGGGACACCTTCCGCTATCCCAGGCTGCTTCAAGACCCATCCCACCTGGCTTTGAACACTTTCAGGGATAATCCCCGGCTCCTCTGGGGGACCTGTTCCAGTGCCTCACCACTGTCACAGTAAAGAATTTCTTTCTAGTATCTCATCTAAACATACTTGCTTTCAGTTTGAAGCCATTTCCCCTTCTCCTGTCACTATATACCCCTGTAAAAAAAATCTCTCCATCCTTTTTGTAGGCTCCCTTCAGGTACTGGAAGATTTAGGTGACCCTAAATCCTTCTTTTTCCAGGCTGAACATGCCCAATTCTATTAACCTTCCCTCATGCAAGAGGTATTCCCTGCCTCTAATCATCCTGGTGTCCCTCCCTGGGACTTGCTCCGACAGAGCAAGATCCTTGTGCTGGGGACCTCAGAGCTGGAAGCAGTGTTCTAGGTGGGATCTCACTAAAGCAGCAGGGAAAAAATTAATTCATTATATCTTTGCCTTTGGTTATAAAAACTTCCAATTTTCCTGTTTCTCATGCATAGGAAGAACATGCTTTTCTGCCACTTCTCATGATTTCATTGCCCCAAGACCAAAAGCTCACCCATTTTCCTCATTCCTTCTTTATAAAATCTGATGTCTGTAAAAATCATGTGCATAGTGTTGTCTTTCTATCATGCAATGACTCTCCTATAAACCAACTCGCAGGAGGTTGCCCATCAGATTATTTAACCTGACAGCAGACTCTCCTCCTATTCTCCAGAGCAACAAGTTGTATCAGCAGTGAGCTGAGTAAGAAACTGCTGTTTTACCTACAACATGCTCGGTCTTCATCTGCCACAACATTTCATTGTGGCTGAACAGGAAGTCAGGGGCTCAGCACTGGGCATTAACAAACAGAGCAGAACTATTGCTTTGGAAGACAGAAATATTAAATTCATGATAAAATATTTTTGCAGCATAGCTTACATACACAGCAGGTAATCAAATTTTCTTGCCACCACAGGGTATGGAGATAGGCCAATTTTTTCTTCAGATGTCCATATTTTTAACCTCCCTAATGTGGAAACAAGGTTTTTCATGACAGTAGAGGACTGTGGACATTCTCATTTGGTTTAAAAGACTTCTTTGCAGTGTGGATCTCGCATTCAGTGCATTACCCACTTTGTCTTTGAAAGTTCTCGACAAAAATAAGTCTTCATCCCAGCACAGAAGACTATCACATATGGAGGGCATTCATATCTATTTATGCTATCACCACTGCTGTAATTTAAAACAAACAAACCAACCCCTTTTCCCTGCATTGTGCAAAGTGACAATTGTCTTGATATTGATACCTGCATAGCATTACTGAGTGCAGCAAGAAATGTGGCTTAGGTACTACAGTAAAGTGACACTTCAGTAATTTTCCTATTTCATGCATGTTTGTAAGGCATTTTACATGAAAAACAAGGCTGATAATGGAAGCAGAAATGAGACTAGGGCAGTACACACTCTCAGTCCAGATTTCCCAGAGCAGCAGACTGCCCCTTGGCAAGCAATTCCTCCTCACCAGAAAGGTTAGACAGATCACATAAGGGCACATGGCTGTGTGGGGGCTTGGGGGTGGGCAGGATGACATTATTTAGGTTATGATATTAGATACTACTTGGCAACAAACACAGCTCAGGGCCTTGCCTGAATCCTGTTACAAGACAGTTCTAGAAGCAAAGCTCCAAAGGAGCTCAAGTGACCCTGTAGGAAGGAAAAAAAAACAGGTTATCTCTTACTGCAATTTCTTTGGGATGCAAGGACAAATGAATCACAAACACAGGAATACCTGTAAAGTGCACCCTGAAAGAAATTTCTTATTAATATTTGGGCTTTGTTGTTCCCTATTATTTTTTGCAGACAGGTATTTCCAGTTAAGCTGTCTCCCTGTCCTTTCACTGACAGACCCATGTCACACAGCAGTGACACTGGTGTCCTTGAGACAAACCTGATGACATAGATCACTGCCCCTTCACTAATCATTCTCTAGATCAAAAACAGTGTTTTAAAACACAGTTCTACCCCGGAAATAGCAACTTGTTACAACGCTTTTCTGTTTGGGGGTTTGAGTTTTTATTTTTACTGTATTGTATTTTTTCTCTACTAATGAAATTCTAGTTTCATTCTTAGTGTAGCATAAGCCATAGCCATATAAAAAAGTATAATCAGCTTTAATTAATATGAAAATATATTATTAAATTCTAATTGTAGAATCTTCCCTGTTGCCATTAATTCTACAATGTTTCTAGTACCTTTTTTCTGGAAAAAACCCCAAAACAAAAACCTCCACATGTTTAGGGCTGGCAAACCAACTGCACATTGATTTGGAAGGCAGCGAAGCACACAATGCTTTACAACCATACAAGGATTATTTCTAGTTAATGACAACATAATCCTACTCCTGATGATGGAAAATAGCAAAGTGGAAATACTCTACTTGGAAAATAACCTGCAACACCTCCTCTTTGTAAGCAAAGCTTGCTGCACTTTTACTTTCACTCCCAGCTGTTCCCCCTACAGATGCAAAATCAAATGTGTGTTGGAGCCCTGTGGGGTACCTGTGGGCCAGGTGCACCACAGTTTCCCAAGACCTTGTGACACAACAGGAGGACAGACTGACAGTCAGCCTCATAAAAGCTGGCAGTCTCTCCAGGAATTCAAGTACAGAAGTAAGCTTTCATCTTTAAGTAGTTCATGGAGTCCCAACTCTTTCTCTGTGGAGATAGAAATGTTAGAAACATGACAGTGAGACAGGATCCCTGTGACTTCTTTCTATTTTGCCAAGCTTTGTGCATCCCTTGGAAGTGATTCAGGATCCACAGAGGGCTACAGCTTTCAGACAGAAAAATGCCCTGCATAAGTGACCACTAGTCACTTAATACCACCTAGCAGTACTGACATTTTAAACAGACTTTACAAGTATTTGAAAAAAAAAACCAAACAAAACCACCCAACCCTTCAACAGAAATTACCAGTATCTGTACTTCTGTACATTTTCACATCCCCATAGATTTTACCACGGCTTCTGACTTACACAATTCTCTCAAAAAATATCCCCAGATACACGGTAACAGCCAATCTTCATGGCATTTTCTGGCCCCAAAGCCTTGTCATGGTTGTTTTTGCTCTTTCCCTCAAATGATGTAATCACTCTGCCATCACAAGAAGCAGGAAGGAAAATATATAAAATATATTTAGCAAAACCAGTAAAATTAAAGTAGAACAGAAAATGCAGTCAAGTAGCAAACATGTACAGCAGCAGATTTTACACTTTTTCCTACACATACCTCTGCACTTATTTCACACACGCTCTTTAAGGAGAAGGAAGAAAATAGAAATCAGATAGTGTTACGAAAGAAAACATTTCTTTTCCTGAACAGTAAATGGGGTTTATTACTGCTTTCTGCTTTTGAAACTCTAATTCAGACTATATATATACTGCTAAGAAAAATAAGAGAAGGACACCCTTTTCTCTGTCCCTAAAGCAAAATTACACTGTCCTCCTTTTACAGACTATACTGGTATCTTAAATAGTTATACTCACAGGATCTAGACATTATCTGGCCATCTTAAGGGATGCAGGTAACAAACATTTTAACCAAGATACAAAACAGGCATCCAATTTTTCCAGCTTTCCTGAGGCTGAGTGAATTTTTTAAATACATGTGCGCTTATCAAAATCCATGTTACAGTACATTTTAACAGTAGTTTGTTAAGAAATCATGAAAGTGCATAACAGCCTAAAAGCAGGCAGAAAGTACTTCAGAAGAACAGTCTTTCTTCAAAGTGGCAGAAGAATATAAGCCTTCCCCAAAGTAGTGTTGATCTTGTGTGAGGACATCAGTGATCTTCCTAGAGATTCCACAGTGTGGTGGTGGGCTTTTGGCTTTGGGGTTTTTTTTTGTGAGTTACGACAATCATTTCAATGAAAAAAAGACCATTAGTAGTATTGGTGCAGTTCCAAAACTAAAGCAAATGTCCTGACAGCTTTTAAACCAAGTTACCAGTGAGGCTTTCCAATCAATACTTGTGTTGGAGTCTAGCGATGACTTCCATTCAGGGAACACCAAACACGGAGATAGGAAGAGTTTGAATATGCCACAAATCTAAACTGCAGCATCCAAAACAATAAGTTAAAGCAAATCAAACATAT